CGTGGTCTTCACTAGCCATGCCCCCTAAGCGTAATAAAAAGAAACCGGCCACACCAAGCACGTCCACACCACTAGTACTCAACTGCGGGGGATGGTCGAGTGGGTAGAAGATGGAAGTAACTACGACATCATTCGAGGCGAATCCACCACGGGCAAGAGCATGAGCCATGGCAACGGTATCACAAAGATTGCTAACTTTGGGCTGATGGCAGAGCACGTGTACTCGGTGGTGATTGCTGACGTGCAAGCAACGGGGGTGTTCGACGCTCGCCATGTCCCAAAATGACCTGCCAGAGTCGATGGAACTCTTTTTTTTTCGTCGCTACAAGAAAATGGACGAGCATGTGCACAGTCAAACGGGTTTCGGTCTCACGGAAGCTCAACGCAAAACGGGGCTAACGCTCGAAGAGGGAGTTGAAGAAATTCATCCGTTTTACTATCGTATTGATAGTTTTTTTGGACAACAAGTCAACGTAGATCCCATTTGCCAGACGCACCAGCCGTGTGAGGACGACTGGTTCCCCGTAAACGACGAACCGTCCAAAAGAAGAAGAAGAAGAAGCGGGTGATAGTGGTGGAGAAGGTTGAAAGCACCAACAACCTCATCGAGGCTCTACTTTCTGGAGGCGAGACCAGTGACCTTGTCGATTCCAGGTCACCCTCCCATGAACGCCCACTCGAAGCGGAAAGTACTACGGTGCAGTGTGATGCTACCGACAACACACGTCGTGCAGCTGAAGAGGAGTCATCCTCGCACCCGACTGTCCGTCAACGAATAGGAAGTAAGAAGACAAATACAGCAAAAGCCACCGCTACGATCAGCACAAAGCGCGTCCTGGTGATACTTGCTGGGGATGCCAAGGGTATTGACAAAGCGAAAAACGATAAGTGGAAAGATTTCGGACCCGGGTACAACGAATCGTCCCAGCTTCGGCTTCAATTGGGCACATCAAGTTTGGCGTGAAAAACAATTGAAAGCAATCGTTGAGATGAAGCAACATGAGAACTTGCAGAAGGAAGAAGACCGTCGCCAACGATCACGTGAAAAGAGTTTGGAGGAGTGAAACCACATGATCGTCCAGCTCCTCAACATGGGCAAGTCGAACGATGAAGTCGATGCCGTTCTCAAACGCATTCTCCCAGCTTAGGTCGGAAGAAACTTCACGTCTTTCAATTAGCCTGTGTAGTTGGCTCAGGTATTTTGGGCGTATGGGTGACTTACTACTCCCCGTAAATAACAGCTCTCTTAATGATTCTCGTCTCTTCACACCCTCGCTTTTGCTTGATGGTTCAGCATTGAACAATAGTGCTGATAATCTTCTTTCCTCTTCAGCGTCGGGGATACTTGCATCATCCCACTCGTCCGATCGGTCAAGGCCAATGTTATGGAGAAGTACACATGCCGGGATGTGGTTGTTAACGAACTTAAACTCACTCACAGTCTTAAGCTGCGTTCGAATGCTCTTTAACGACATCCACCGATTTTTCCAGAGACCAACGCAGTTCTCATTTAGGACCCGAGCACTCGACACCACCTCATTGAACACCTTGTTGTCAGGATGGTCAG